AAAATCTCAGTGAGTACTGATGCCTTCTGCAGCCGCAGATTTCTTCAAGAAGTGCCCATTGCAGTATTTGGCACCCAGTCATCAACGTCAAAGAAAAGATCAATCTCAAAAAAAAAAACGGTGCAAAACAGCTAAAACACGTCTGCCTAATATGAAGTCTATGTAGAAGGCACTTGATGAACCCCTATTATTTTGGCCTTTCCTACATACATTCACAGTCCCCTGACTTCATTACTTTTTAGAATTCTTATTTTCATCGATGACGATAGGAAAGTGTAATGCCGAAGATTACTCGAGCACGTCAGTAATGTCCCTTAGCTAGTGCCGCTCATAATTACTTCCGCTGTTTGAGGAAATTACTATATTTGCAAGCACGATGTGGACTCTTTGAACAGCTCTGGCTCAGCTTAAAAACATACCCTAGCTGAAAACTAACTAGCAACAAATGTAAACTTTTTTGCCGCTGAAAAGTTCAGATATGGGTTTTATAATACGAGATTTGACCTACCATGGTGGAGAAAATCTGTCCACATTCATCTGGAGAAAAGTTGAAGATAGTAGGAATCAGCTGCAGAGCTATCCTCGTTGCAACTCCTGCACTGAAGCCCAGTAGCAGATTAGAAGAGACGAAATGGAGAAGGAAATCCAGCGGAAAGAAAAAATGTAGCAGCTTAAAGAAATTAATATGGATACGATGAAATCTTCTTCACATTGTTTTTTTTTATATGCAAAGGAAGTTTTTTGACTAAGAACTCACCTGGAATATACCACACCACAGAGTTATGGTCGATATGGAAGATCCGGAATTTCTGCTGGAAGAATATATCAAAAATGACGTCATTGAAAGTGACCCTTAAACATAATCTTTAACATTCATCATGCTTCTACTTGGCTGCTTACCTAGTGTACAATGTCGAGAGGAGCCAAGAAATGGATAAATGAGATTAGGTAAGAGAATGGAGAACATTCCAGAAAATACATCTGATGTTAGTAAGCCATTTGCAATACCTTAAAGTGATTCGCTTCCTTTATGAAGTGAATAAAAGTTCTCGAATTTTTTACCTTGTGGGATAAACAGCGCAGCCAACAGAAGAGATCCCATGAAATCACGCAAAGGCGCTGATTTGACATCGTAGGTTTTGATCCAGGTTAGAAAGGGGAAAAAATCCATAAGACCCTGATAGCTTTGGAAATTCCTGGACATTGCGACTCGCAAAACATCACGATTTGTTCTGCGCTTCTTTTGTCGGACAAAGTTGAACCGTTGATCGAAGTCATCCTAAAATTTCACATATTTCTCTCAGTCACAAATTTTTCTCAGTTTGGAACGGTAGTCCAGCCGCAAAGCTTTTGAATAAATGAAAAGCTATTATGTTTACATGCTTTCGCAAACATCTGAAATCTGCTTTTTGTGAAATTCAAAAAGTCTGAAATACGGAAATTATATTTTTGTGGTTGAGAATTTTAACATAAGCTTTACAAAGTTTAGGTGACCATTTGGAATTTTTTCGACCTGTAAGAATCTCTTTATAGGCTCGTATCACCGCAGTTTGCCTGCTAATAATATTTCGGTTCAAGCGCCACCAAATCCATGACTTTTTATAAAATAATAGATTTCGAGAGAAATTTGTTACAGGACTTACGCCAAACTATAGCTCCTGTTATAACGCAATTTTG